AGTAAGGGTATCTTGGGAAATCACCGCTCTGGCTCTGGCTAATTGTACACACCGCTTTGGATCTGCTTTCAAAACTCTTTAATTTCCTTGGAAAATCGTGTGATGAAAAATCACTTCTTTTGAAAACTTATCAACTCCTTAGTTTGAGTCCAGACATAACCGAGGGTGTCCCCGAATCCCTCAAACCAAGGCTCTGATACCAAATTGTAACACCTCAAATTTCAAGACAAAATTTTCATTTTTAATTCTCCGAATATTACTCATAAATTCAAGTCATCACATAAATTGTAAGTTTTTATCAAAACAATATCAGAGTATCCCAAAATCCTCAAATCTTAATAAGCCGGTAAATGTTTACAATCATGCCTCTACTTTTCCGAAATCTACAAAAGTACCTGAAACACATTTAAATCAACACTGTAAGCACAAATTTTAGTGAGTTCCATAAAACACCACATACAAAATCTTAATTAATAACCCAAAACCCTCAAGTTTGACCCAAGGTCAAACTTAGTCAAAAGTCAACGGTCAACATAAATCAAAGTCAACAAGTCAAGTTCAGACTGAGTACGCCCATCATACTTAGCTCTACACATGGCGTACTCACCATCCAAAATTGGGACCCCATGCGAGTACACGCAGCGTACTCAAAGGTACGCCCGACGTACGCGGTTAAAAGGCACTTTTCCATTAAGTGCTTAATCTCTTAATTCCTTTTATCCAACACTCATATCTAGTCCCACAACATCATTCTAAGTCATAAAGTTTCCACATTTATGACTTTCCAGGTCTAGACAATGTCCAAAAGGCAAAACCTTAACTTATTACTCCATTAAGACATCATGACACTTTCATAGAAGGTATAGAAGGATCAAGATCACATTTTTATGGATCCGAAAATCTCCATAATGGATAAAGCTTCCAACTTTATCCATTATAATGGTCCAAACCACCAAGATCTTGCCTTTAAGCATCAAATGGGACTAGAGGTGCCTCTTTTTCAAATTAATCCATTAAGTCCAAGTCTCCAACCTTCAGATCTGAATTACAATGATGTTTAGATGGATAAAGTTTCCAACTTTATCCATAACAACGTCACAAACTTTCAAGATCTAAACTTTATGCACTAAAATGACCAAAAACTCATAACACCCAGAAGTAGCTAGATCTAACAAATGCATGATCAAGATTCAAACTTTATACCTCTAAAAGATAGATCAGGGTGAACAAAGTCCAGATCTACAAGCTCCAAAGCAACCAAGACTTCTGCAAGAAGTTCCTTTTTCTCCAAGGTGCACCATGCATACTCCAAAGCACTCAAAACACCTTCTTTTAGCTCATAAGGCTCAACTAGGGTTAGGGTTTCATGGAGGGGGTGTTGGAGGGGTGGAGGTTGAAAATGGAATGGGTTTGGGGGAGTTAAGGAACTTAAATAGGGCTCAAACCACGAAAATAGGGTTTGGGCACTAATTACATACACCTAGCATACTCCTGGTATGCTCAGCATACCCAGGATTCTCTTAGTATGCCCATCGTGCACCTTTTTGTATGCCCAACGTACTCAGCTTGGCCCGGAACCACCCAAACATCAAATGGTCAGAACTTCTTCGTTGTAACTTCGATTTTGATGTTCTTTATATCCACGGAAAGGTAACAAGAAGCCCTACACTTCTATCAACTTTATTTTTTCCTAAAACCCACTCGAATTCATATTAAAAATTCATGAAATTCCCTAACCAACGCCTTTACTGATACCCTTGGGCTCTAAAGCACAAACCAAACTCTTTTATCACACAACCGCCCTTACCCACATCCAAAAGGGTCTAAACTTTTCTTCTTAAAAGCCTTAAAACCTTCTCATACTCGAATTACGACCCAAAAGACTTAAATCACAGAACGATCTGAAACAGGATGTTACAGAAACAAATGGATATTTATGTTATATCTATGAAAATGTTTTTATGGTTGTTATTATTTACATTTTAAAAGAAAATTTTGGTTGAAATATTGGGATAGTGAAACTAAGGCTTGAGAGATTTTTACAAAACATTTTGAAAAAGATTTTTTTACGAATAAAAAGGAAAGATGTGATGCGTACAGTTAGTCAGAGTTTTAAAAGAAAAGTCATTCCCGTTATACACATATTTGTTTGATATGTTATTTATGTGATTGATAGTAATGCATGAATGTAGCTTAAGGATTTTGTTAGAACTTACATGCTAGATTGCCTGCTTAGTTGAGATGCCTTGTTGCCTTATGTGTTGGTTACTATGTGCTAATTGTAGTTTATGTTAATATCAATAAGTTGTTAAGTGAATGGTTTACGGTTGTATGCAGTTAGAATCTCATAAACTTGGAATTCTTGATTTTCCTTATTGCATGTTCCTTTTTTGGTTGGTGCCTTAGGGTTCGATCAGTTATTCGTTTGTCTATTTTACTCTTGACTTTGTACAACTGTGCATTCATAAGGCGACTCGTTGATATTGGTAGAGATTTTTTCTGACATGATAGCGGTGCAGTATCCTATAGAGTCTAGGAAGATTAGTACTATGTGCATTAGTGTATATATATATATATATATATATATGTGTGTGTGTGTGTGTATGTGTGTGTGTGAGATAGGACGTCTAGTAGTGGCTGTAAGGTGAAACTTAGGACTTTAGCGAAATTCTAAAAACAAGTATGGATATATGTGGAAGATAGTAGATGACCGTACTACCTGGATAACATGATACATACTCGGAGCATGAATGGTCACAAGGGTTATGAGGAGCTGGTAAATAGTGAATTAATGGGGTGATAACACTATGTATATGTTGTAACCTCTTTCTATTTGAGTCCATAATATGGTAACCACTAGATAGGGAGGGGAGGTTCCGGAACAGGTTTGAGTAAGTCGAATTATATGATATAATTGATGTTACAAGTTGTACTTGATGTTATAGTGGAGATGTTTAGGGCTAGCTAGAGGAGTTAGTCAACCGAGGCCTAGGACTATCACTTATTGTGAGTTTTTTGTTTGTCAACCTCCCATGGTTGATGGGAAGAAGGATCTACTTGCCAGTATGCGATAAATAGGTGAGGTGGAGGGTGCCTTTCGCACCGATTTTCCCTGAGGAGGCATAGGTGAGGTACGTTGTGAACCTGTTACGCCATGTGGTGAAGGATTGGTGGGGCTGTATTATTCAGTCCATTTCTATAACCGAACTACAGCTCATGACTTAGGAGGATTTTAGGACACGTTTTAGGAGTAATATGTTCCCCCGGAAGAGATTGCGCGAGTGAACAGAAGTATCTGGCTCTCAAGCAGACTACTGAGTCGGTGACCAAGATCACCAACAAGTTTATGGAGAGGTCGATGTTTTTCCACGAGTGTGTTGCGAATCAGATGATGTTTTTCCACGAGTGTATTTTAACGCTAATGACAATATTATATTACAATTAGATGTTTTCTTTTTTACATAAAAGAACCTATGAGGACTTTCATTGAGCACTACATCCATGAATTCCATCCAGAAATTGGAGAACATATGAACCGGGGAGTCTTTTATAAAACATAAACAAATAGAAGAATGATCAAGAATTTTAACAGACCTTAAATGGTAATGTATGAATGGATACTATTTCAGAATCTCAACCAAATCTCAATTGTACCCTTTTAGCATTAAAAAACATAATAGAATATAAAATCAAACGCATATAAATCCTATACACAGCATATAATTGAATCTTTCAACTTCAACAGAAACAAGAAATAAAATATTGTAGGGAAAGATTGAAGAACATACCTAGATGAATAGGAATTAAGGAAAAAGAGCAATAGCGGCAACGAAAACGTTAACAACATGGAGAATTAAGACAATTTTGATGAGTGAAACTGTTGATCCTTGAAGAGTAACCAAACCTATTAAAACTTACCAAAAAGATGTTGACAAAAGCCTTTTAAACATAATCGTCATCAAAACAATATATCATTATATTCTTCAAAATTAAAGAAGTTGTAATCAAAATCAAACGAAAATGAAACAGTTTTCCAAAAACATAACCTTGGTTGTATTCCAAGAACGATGGACATTGAAGGAAAGCTTCGTTAGAAGTCAATGAGGTAAGAACGGATAAAAACGACAGTAGCAGAAAGGTAGACATCATTGCAACAGTAGCATAAAGATAGACATCATTGCAACCGGAAAACCAATTGCAATTAGCATGGTGGTTTATCGCTTGGCGAGAAAAAAAGATGAAGATGAAGGAAAGGATTGAATGTGTGGGATTAAAAATTGGATAAGATTTGATTCGTGATTTACTTGGACTAAGTTGAGGAATTTTCTGATTTTGTGGGATTGATTAAAGATTTGATTAAATCTACAATTTAATTGATAAATGATTTTAAATTTAGATTTCCTAATTTACAGAGATAGATTTGTGTATATGTAATTTAAGTTGAAACCAAAAGTTGCAGGCTATAAGACTGAAAGACCTGTAGCATTAAAATAATTTTTTTATTAGAGAAGATATTAAAATAATAATAATAATTAGTAGTAGTTTTTTTCGTATATCCCCTGCTTTTGGGCTTAAACTGTGCACGCGACGTGGGCTTCTCCCCATTCCATTATATATATATATATATATATATATATATATATATATATATATATATATATATATATATATATATATATATATATATATATATATATATATATTAAAGTTGGGATTTTTTTTCCAAAATAGACCTTATATTTACACTTTTTTTCTATTTAAACCAAATGTTTTACTTTTTTCCTAAAAAGACCACATTTTTGGAGGATCTTTGTTATTTAGAAGAGATAACCGGTTGACTAAGTCAATAGCCGGTATCAAGTACGTATGTATCTCATCCCCTCCATTATACGTCGCTTCTTTTCTTCTACACTTGTCGCTAGTTTCATTGTTGCGATTCTAGATACACAAGTCCATATGCAAAACTAGGGCTTTTTCTGAAATTGCTCAAGAAGAAAGCCATGGCATCCAACAACGATGCCAAGAAGAAAACTAAGAAAAAAAAATACGCTGATTATGAAGATCTCGAAGATGAAATTCTCGTATCAGACATGCCCATGGACTATGAGAGGGAAAAGGTAATAACTGTTTCATTCCAATCTGTTAAAGATCCTTTTCTTACAAAACTTTTTGAAGATGAATCTGAGTTTTTTGGTGAAAAAGATGAGTATGTAGATGATTTAGTTCATCTAGAAGATGACGAGAATGACATTCTTGGTTCCAATTCTGTCCATGATCCCACCATAGAGTGGAATCTCATGGAACCAAAGGTTGGAGAGAAATATCAAAATTTTTCTCAATTGAAAAATTGTCTTATTAACTACGCTGTGGCCCATGGGTATCCCCTAAGGTTTGAGAAACTTGAAAGTACTAGGTTAGTAGCTAGATGTGGTAGAGATACAGACAAAAAAAAATGTGATTTTCGTTTGTATGCATCATGGATGAACACAGAAAGAACAGTCCAAGTAAAGTCAATGAAAAAGAAGCACTCGTGTTCAAGAAAGTTTACTTTTGGACACCTTGTATCCCCTCAATGGATTGCTTCTCATCTTGTGAAGGAGATTGTTTTCAACCTATCTATTAAACTTAAAGAACCGAGGGAACTCATTAGGACAAAATTCAAGATCACTCTATCTCTCAGTAAATGTAACAGGGCTAAACATAAGGCAATGGTGATGATTGAAGGGAAGGCTAGTGATCATTATGCTAGAATTTGGGACTATGCTGCAGAAATACAAAGATCCAACCCTGGTAGTACTGTGCAAGTGGGTGTAAACCTTAATCCTGATGGAAAACATTACTTCCATAGATTCTATGTATGCTTTCATGCATTGAAAACAGGATGGATTGCTGGATGTAGGAGAGTCATAGGATTAGATGGGTGTTTTTTGAAAGGGCAAGTAAAGGGTCAACTCCTAACAGCTATAGGAAGGGATGCCAATAACCAAGTATATCCTATATGTTAGGCTGTGGTAGACATTGAGAACAAGCAAAACTGGAAATGGTTCTTGGAGCTTCTTAGTGAGGATGTTGGAGTACAAGAAGGTGGAGGTCTTACAGTTATATCAGACCAGCATAAGGTATATTGTTATTCTTGTCCCCTATGTCATAAATTTCAAAATTTTCTTGTCCATTTTTTCATAAAAATAGTGTCAAATAACATTGTTATTCTTTTAGGGACTACTTGAAGCAGTAAAGGAGGTCTTGCTATATGCGGAGCATAGACAATGTGTTCGCCATATATACGCAAACTTTAAGAAGTCATATAAAGGAGAAGAGTACAAAGATTTGTTTTGGGCTGCTGCTGGTTGCACTGTCGAACCTGAATTCATATCTGTGATGGAGAGATTGAAGGCTATAGATGTGGGTGCATATGAATACTTAATGTCCCATAACCCGAGCTCATGGAGTCGTGCTTACTTTTGTCAAGGTAAGTATTTCATTTTCCTTTTTACTTAAATTTTTTCTTTATACTTTAAAATAGCACTTAAAATTTGGTGTTTGCACTTAACATTTGTGGTTGGACGTTTTTGCCCTTGTTGATGTGCTAGATTGTGCTAGATTGAACAAAGGAATGAGCAATTCCAATGCAACCAAAGTGGATGAATTTGTAAATCAAAGTGGATAAGGTTGTTGTGATTTATGTAAAGCTGAAAACAAAAATCTGAAAATCTGAAATCTGAAAACAGAAATCTGAAAATATAAATCTGAAAATAGCAATCTGAAAATCTGAAATCTGAAAACAGCAATTTGAAAAACTGAAATTTGAAAACAGCAATCTAAAAATCTGAAATCTAAAAATATAAATCTGAAATCAACAATCTGAAAATTTAAAATCTGAAATCTGAAAATATAAATCTGAAAACAACAATTTGAAAATCTGAAAACAACAATTTGAAAATCTAAAATCAGAATTTTGAAATCTGAAAAACATAAATTTGAAAAACAAGTATGCTTATTTTTTTAACAGATAGAGCATGTGAATATCATTATAACATATTCGAGTTTGAGTTTCATAGCTTTCAACAAATAAAAAATTGTCCGTAATTAAGAGTCTAATAACTTTTAAAGATCAAAACTAGCTCAACATGTTTGATAATGTTCACAATCGAAAAGATTCTTAACTATTATAATTTATAGAAAATAAATTGTGCAGTTCTTAAATAAACAATCATTTGTTATCGACAATCATGTTTATATAGAAGGATAAAATGGTCATTTACTCATAGTAAATTTGAAAAACAAGTATGTATATTTTTTTAACAATAGAGCATGTGAGGCTTTTGAGAACGGTGTTAGTGAAATCCTTGATGGTTGTAACCCCCACCCCTCCACCGCCTAATCCAGTTCCCGTTTAATTTCTACTCATTGTTACAGAACCGTCTTCGTTTCCCCCTCCTCGAAGCTTCTTCTACCTCTGCTTCCTCCACCGTCTTTTAGATATTAGTTCCCACCGCTTATCTTAGTTTTCTCCACACTGCCGCTTCAATCCATTCTTCCAGTATAAAAAAAGCGACCGTCTACCTCTCCATAACCAGCGAACTCAATGTCACGTTTTCTGTCTGCTTCCGTGATCATGTCTACACGTATTGCAACAAACACATATCTAGAAATTGGCTAACAGTCGAAGAAGACGATGATGTCGGAGAGTAAGCGTTGTTCGCCAATTTTTCTTTCGTCGCTGTTTCCCTCTTCTTTTCCCTTCTTCATCGAACCTTTTAGTTTTCTGATTAACTTCTCCTCTACTGAAACCCTAATTTTTTTTTATTGTTGATTTATGGTACAGATGCCAGAATATAAGAATGATGGGGAGGAGTGAGGTCATGAGGGGAATCTGATGGAGCTTAACCTGGACACCCCGTTCCCGAGTTGTAGCAGAGAAAAGAAGAGAAGAGAAAAGAAAGTAAGGAGAGAAAAGAAGAGAAGAGAAAGGAAAAGAAATTTGTGTTTTGTGTTCCCGAGTTGAAGAGAAATGGAAGGAAAATGAAACATTTTGTTCTTTCTCTCCAAATCCTTCCAAATCGGAAGGAAAGTTAGGAGGGAAAGTGATCCCTCCATTTCCTTCCACTTCCCTCCTTTAATGAAACTCGGAACACCAATTTCTTTTACTTTCCTCCCACTTCCACCTATTTCCTTTCTTTTCTCTCTTTAAATTGAACTCGGGAACGGGGTGGGAACGACCTGATTATGCATATACAAATATTAGAAGCTATATCATTTCAAGAAGGAGATATTGAAAGGAGAAGAAGCGTTCGACTTCATTCGATTGATCTCTTCCAGTCATCCAGATACTAATCGACATGCTTTTTAGTGATACATCTTTGGGTTGTGTGAAGAATTTCTATCGTTGACGGAAGGATCGATTGTGATGCTTTCTCTGGCAGATTCCCTCTTTCCATTCCCGACTCCCATTTCTCGCCTCTTTCTTAACCACCGCTTTTGGTGGGATTCCGACGCCGTTTCGATCTGCCAATCGCCGCCGGTAACCATCTCTTTCTTCGCCGTTCTTTCAGGAAATCCTCCATTTTCTTCGAAACTTTTTGGTTACTAAATATGATTTGCGTTGTGTGTAAGTGTGTTCGACATTTTGTACGTATCAACCAATAATTTGTAGAGGAAAATCCATATATCAAATACATACACCTCTAATATAGTTACAGAAAGAGAAACGTATATTACAGAAATAAAGTCTCTAGAATTTATAGCATTGAAAATTTTCTATGTCATTGAAATCAGAAATTTTATTGTACACATGCATATATACAGGGACAGAGAAAGCGATCTCTGATATAATTTGAATCTAGCAAGAAAAATTGATCAATATCACTGAGCTTTTCCAGAAATTTTCGCATTTGGGAATTCGGATCATTTAAGAGATATCTGAAGAAACCGATTGTAAGTTAATTGTTCTCTTTCAATTCATTACAGCTTAATAGAACAGGTCTCCAATTACACATGAAATTTAAATATGCCGTACCCAGTTGATATTGAGTTTTGAAGTTGAGTTTCACAATGTATCCCAACTGCTTGATGAAATGCTTGAACCAGATTCTTCTTTACTATATTTTTCCATGCTTACTACAGGTAAAGGATATAAATATTGTTTATGTTTGTCCAAATTGATATGCTTTTCATTGTAGATTGAAAGTTTTTGTGGTATTCTTGACAACCTGTTTAAGGTTTGTGGAAGTTGATGATGACTACATTCAAGATGATTTCAACCTCTTTGGGTTAAGCATTCAAGTTCCTTATTTTGATTTTGCACTTGATCTAATCTTAGATGCAGAATCTTCTAATGGTAAGTTGCATTATTTTTTCTGAATGTTAGATATGTGATTTTATTGCTTTGTATGTAGGTCATTACTTCGAGATTGCAGGAGTTGGGCCAACTCTAAGCCGAGGGACCAAATTTGACAAATCGTGAAACTGTGGTGGTCATAATATGATGTGCAATTGGCAGATTTTTTATCTATATCAAATCCGGAATCAAACAACTGAACTGAAATGTAAGAATGGTAAGGTACATTTATAGTACAGACAGCAATCAGTTGATCTGGATATATATATATATATATATATATATATATATATATATATATATATATATATATATATATATATATATATATATATATATATATATATATATATATATATATATATATATATATAAATGGATTTAAGAGTTCCAACTTAACAAAATGTGTTGGGTAAATAAGTTAATATTTGGTTTATCCGTTCATTGAGTCAACGGATATATTTAGTAACATTTTAAGTGAAATTCCATTTATGTATTTAACTATTACTGGAATCCATTACTCATCTCCAATAATTTTACAATTTTATATTTTATTGAAGCCATATCAAAGCACATTATATAGTTATTTCCTACTAATGCAGCACTTTTCGTTTATTGGTTTCTCAAAATTAGCAGCAATACCAACCACTTTGGAATAGGGAAAGGTGGACCTTCACATTTCCCCTAATAGATGATGTTGTGACTAAAATGCACCTGCCAAAAATCCGTTGGGTGATTCATTGATCCAAATTTGAAAATCTTCTACTAATACTTATTATTTTATCTATAATCGCAAATCGTAACCCACAATTGCATTGTACTTGCACTTTTTTTAACTGATAACAACAATGTATTGTCATACTCATTAACGACTCTAATTGAGATTGCAATAACCATAACAAAAAAAAAAAAAATTGAAAATCGAAGGCTTCCAACCCCCGCAAAGAGGGGGACACTTCTCTAGTTTATATGAAGTTTTATTTTTTTAGCCGACTAAAATCATCGGCTTTTAGCCCAAGAACCGAAAAACCTAATGGGTCATCTCCCTGACCCGACTTCTGTAGTTTCTCGTTTCCTAACTTCTTAGACTTTTGGATTCCTAATTCTTGCTAAATAATTTTTTAAATATTATACTCTATCTCTCTACCAAAAAAACACTTCTTTCAATTTAATATAATGATCCAATGCAAAAACATGGTTACATCTCTGTTTAAAACCTGAAAATCGCAAGTAAATTTCAATTCGATTGAGTACGCCGGGTTTATCAAAATCTGAGCAAAGACATAATCAATTACTTATATTATAACAAAATCGAAGTTTCAAAAAGGGTTTACATGCAATTCAACGTATTGTCCTTGATTACAACCCCTTCCTCTTCTTAAATTTCTAGGGTTTCTAATAGTTTTGGAATTTTATCCCAATCGTGTATGTGATGCATTTTATCATTAAAATTACGCTCCAATATTATCATCCACGAGTGACTATTTTATTGTTTAATGTGTAACATAATATTACGTGACATCTCCAAATTTTTCGGTCAGGAAAGACCGATTTAATTTATGCTTTTAAAATAAAATCAGAGTAATTTTTTAAAAGATGTTGCGGAGTTTGTCCTCAAAACAAAACATGATAAAAAGTGATCAAAACATTTCTTAAAGAAATATGTATTTTCATTATATATCAAAACATCGGGATGCTATGTTTCGATACAGACCAAAAGCATAAACAATACATTATAAGCTTTACAACAATTATTTACAACTATTGACCTATAATCCAAAAGTCTATTTTCATCATCCAAACTATGCTCCGAGTCCACTACCTTTAATATAAAAAGCTGAGTGGGTTTGGCTTGAGAGTTTGGTGAGCATATAGAATTTTTCAACCCACAAAAAATAATGAATTTATTAATTTCATCGACCAACAATAAATTTATTAATTTCATCAACCAACAATAACCCTGATTACCTGTTCCCGTTATCCTCACTTTACATCCCTAAACACCTATCACAAGGGGCCTAGCCTAAGGATCATCATCGGGATGGACACTACTGCTAAGGGGATTTCTCATCCATACATGTCCTAAGGCAACCTTGAGAGGGATGGAGTACACCAATGAACTTATAGTTCACTAACACCTATAGGTTGCGAACCTACTAGCATTCCACTGGACTGTCTAGAAAGATCCGTGGTCGTCATCTATACTCCACTAGATGACTACAACAACAACTATTTCATCTACACATGTTATACCCAACATATTTGTAGATAAAAATACATATACAGTTTAAACCATTTTAAAACTTATATAAAACATTCATTCAACACCCGTCTCAAATAAATAAACAATAAATATACACATAGCACGTATTTTGTAGAAAATACTTTGTATCTATGTGTAAGATGAAAGTAACTACACACTCACATGATTTAACGATAATCGGGCAGCACTTCGTTTCTTAAAACGATCGTTTCCGATGAAACCGGGACCTTTAATGAGAACTGGGCCTTGCGAGTGTTGAGCTTCAAATCAAAAAGATAAATTTCTCGGGGTCTTCGGGCACTTGGGGACGATCTTCGGGTGTTAGGTATGACCCGGGGGCTTCGGAAGATGCAAAATAGCTTGAAAGAAGGTGTATGGTGTAAAAAGTGTGAAATTTACAAACAAACCGGGAGGGTTCGCACCTCCCTTTATATAGGGCGAGGCTTCGGCCAAAGGGGGAAAGGAGAAGACACCGATCGACACGGGTCCGAGCTCGGATGCGCCACAGTTAGACACGCGACAACTTAGGACTACACCTTGCTTCGTTCGAATCAGTAGGCGGACACGGGGTTGGCTCGCATGCGAGGCGACGCGACTGATTCCGAGCGATGCATGCGAAATTTGTCGGATTTTGTGCCCCAAACTTCAAAAATACCTAACTTTTGCATCCGAGCTCCGTTTTCAACATTCTTTATATGCACACGTAGGTGAGATTATACTCTACAACTTTTGTTTAGACTTCGTCAACTAATTTTTACTTTACTTTTAATATTATTATTTTTAACAGACCGGGATAGAAAAATCCGTTAAAAATTCATAACTTCTTCATCCGACGTCCGTTTTCGTCTGTGTTTTTATCGTTGTACTACTATTGAAGAGACCTTCGACTCTCGTTTAGGCCGTGTCGGCTAAAACTCACTCGATCTAAAATTCGAGTTTCTAGCTGTCTACTACTAAGCTGAAACTTAGAAAAATCATATCTTCCTCATATGAAGCCAGATTTGTGCATTCTTTTTATGAAAATTCTCGGTTTAAAGAATACGAAGACTTTCATTTAGATCATTAATGCTAAAAATTACTTTATCATAAATTCACTTTTTACGTCACACAACGTCATACCGGTTCTATCGCGAAACTTCGACAGGTCATAACTTCTTCATTATAACTCGGATTTCGGTATTCTTTATATCTCCGGAATCCTTATTTCAACCGCTGCAACTTTCTTCATAGATATCGGCTTTATCTAACATTTATTTTCGACGTTTATTTTTATCCTGAACTCATTAAATTATAATAATTAAGCATAAAACACATAATAATTAAATAATACATCTTTATTATTTCAAAATAAGTTACAAAGGTTGGCCTACACTATTACATCATCATTAGTGTCTAGCCTAGAAACACGGGCGTTACAATTCTCTTCCCCTTAGGATGATTCCGTCCCCGGAATCATACATCAGCAAACAAATGCGGATAGTAACTCATCATGTCACTCTCCGTTTCCCAGGTGAGATTTGGACCATTCGTATGTTTCCATCGCACAAGCACTAAATTGAACATCTTGCGTCACAACTTCCTAGTCTTACGGTCAACGATTACTTCTAGTTCTTCGATTAACCTCTTGCTTTCATCCAACCTTAATTATGAAGTTGGAATTATGTCGGGAACATCTCCCGTGAACTTTCTCAAATAACACACATGGAAAGTGTTATGAATACCGTGTAGTTCTTCTGGTAATTCTAGTTTGCAAGCTTGGTTCCCAATCCTCTAAAGAACTTTAAACGGTCCAATAAACCTTAGGCTCAATTTTCCTTTTTTACCAAATCTTATAAGTCCTTTCCACAACGAGACTTTAAGTAAAACCGAATCTCCAACTTCGAATGTTAGCGGTTGTCTTTTCTTGTCAGCATAGCTCTTTTGACGATCCTGAGCTGCTAACATTCTTTCCCTAATCACTTTCAACTTTTCAGCAGTCTGATGAACTATCTCGGGTCCCATAAACCGCTTTTCCCTAGCTTCAAGCCAACATGACGACGTTCGACACTTTTGTCTATACAAATCCTGATACGGTGCCATCTTGATGCTCGAATGAAAACTATTATTGTAGGAAAATTCTACTAAAGGTAATTGTTCATCCCAGTTACCTTGGGATTCCAGGATACATGCTCGTAGCATATCCTCCAATGTTTGAATCGTTCGTTCGCTCTGACCATCAGTTTGCGGATGGTAGGCTGTACTTAGGCACAATTTCGTACCCAATTCCTCTTGTAGACTTCTCCAAAACCGCGACGTGAAACGACTATCACGATCTGATACAATCGTTAAAGGAACACCGTGAACTTTCAGTATCTATTTCACATAAACGTTTGCAAGCTTTTCTATAGACCATTTCTCATTGGCTGCTATGAAATGTGCACTTTTTGTAAATTGATCGACGAACACCCAAATGATGTCGTGGCCGCTTTTTGTTCTAGGCAGTTTAGTCACAAAATCCATGGTGATGTCTTCCCATTTACCCATGGGTACAGGTAAAGGTTCTAAACTCCCATATGGTTTCTAATTTTGTATCTTAAACCTCACACATGTTACACATTCGGTTACATACTTTGCAACATCGAGCTTCATCGTCGGCCACCGGTAGTAAGGTTTCAGATCCCTATA